CAGTATCACCCACTGTCAGTATCACCTATCCACTGTCAATATCATCTATCCACTGTCAGTATCACCGACCCACTGTCAGTATCACCGACCCACTGTCAGTATCATCTGTCCACTGTCAGTATCACTGACCCACTGTCAGTATCATTTACCCACTGTCAGTATCACCCACTGTCAGTATCATCTATCCACTGTCAGTATCATCTATACACTGTCATTATCATCTATCCAGTGTCAGTATCACCGACCCACTGTCAGTATCATCTACCCAGTATCACCGACCCACTGTCAGTATCACCGACCCACTGTCAGTATCACCGACCCACTGTCAGTATCATCTACCCACTGTCAGTATCACCGACCCACTGCCAGTATCATCTATACACTGTCAGTATCATCTATCCACTGTCAGTATCATCTATTCACTATCAGTGTCACCGACCCACTGTCAGTATCACCGACCCACTGTCAGTATCACCCACTGTCAGTATCACCGACCCACTGTCAGTATCACAGACCCACTGTCAGTATCACCTGCCCACTGTCAGTATCATCTATCCACTGTCAGTATCACCCACTGTCAATATCACCGACCCACTGTCAATATCACCGACCCACTGTCAGTATCATCTATACACTGTCAGTATCACCCACTGTCAGTATCATCTATTCACTGTCAGTATCACCTATCCACTGTCAGTATCACCGACCCACTGTCAGTATCATCTATCCACTGTCAGTACCACCGACCCACTGTCAGTACCCCGACCCACTGTCAGTATCATCTATCCACTGTCAGTATCACCCACTGTCAGTATCATTCACTGTTAGTATCATCTATCCACTGTCAGTATCATCTATCCACTGTCAGTATCACCCACTGTCAGTATCACCGACCCACTGTCAGTATCACAGACCCACTGTCAGTATCACCTGCCCACTGTCAGTATCATCTATCCACTGTCAGTATCACCCACTGTCAATATCACCGACCCACTGTCAATATCACCGACCCACTGTCAGTATCATCTATACACTGTCAGTATCACCCACTGTCAGTATCATCTATTCACTGTCAGTATCACCTATCCACTGTCAGTATCACCGACCCACTGTCAGTATCATCTATCCACTGTCAGTATCACCGACCCACTGTCAGTATCACCTATCCCCTGTCAGTATCACCGACCCACTGTCAGTATCATCTACCCACTGTCAGTATCACTGACCCACTGTCAGTATCACCGACCCACTGTCAGTATCATCTACCCACTGTCAATATCACTAACCCACTGTTAGTATCATCGACCCACTGTCAGTATCACCTATCCACTGTTAGTATCACCGACCCACTGTCAGTATCACCGACCCACTGTCAGTATCACCGACCCACTGTCAGTATCACCCACTGTCAGTATCATCTATCCACTGTCAGTATCACCGACCCACAGTCAGTATCAGCCACTGTCAGTATCATCTATCCACTGTCAGTATCACCCACTGTCAGTATCATTCACTGTTAGTATCATCTATCCACTGTCAGTATCATCTATCCACTGTCAGTATCACCCACTGTCAGTATCATCTATCCACTGTCAGTATCACCGACCCACAGTCAGTATCAGCCACTGTCAGTATCATCTATCCACTGTCAGTATCATCCACTGTCAGTATCACCCACTGTCAGTATCAATTCACTGTTAGTATCATCTATCCACTGTCAGTATCATCTATCCACTGTCAGTATCACCCACTGTCAGTATCATCTATCCACTGTCAGTATCACCGACCCACAGTCAGTATCAGCCACTGTCAGTATCATCTATCCACTGTCAGTATCATCCACTGTCAGTATCACCCACTGTCAGTATCATTCACTGTTAGTATCATCTATCCACTGTCAGTATCATCTATCCACTGTCAGTATCACCCACTGTCAGTATCATCTATCCACTGTCAGT